ATATGCCTGTTCTTGTGCCAGTACCAGGCTGTTTTGATTACAGTGGCTTTGTAGTATAACCTGAAATCTGGTATTGTGATCCCTCCAACTTTGTTCTTCCTTTTCATGATTGTTGTGGCTATTCGAGGCCTTTTTTGCTTCCATATGAACTTTTAAAATAATTGTTCTAATTCTGTGAAGTATGCCGTTGGTATTTTGATGGGGATTGCGTTGAATCTATAGATTGCTTTGGGTAATATGGACATTTTAATGATGTTGATTCTCCCGATCCATGAACAGGGTATGTGCTTCTACTTTTTTTTATATCTTCCTCTGTTTCTTTTTTCAATGACCTGTAGTTTTCTGTGAATAGGTCCTTTATTTCTTTGGTTAAGTTTATTCCTAGGTATCTTAATTTTTTTGCCACAATGGTAAATGGGATTGTTTGCTTAGTTTCTCTTACTGTGAGTTCATCATTGGTGTATAAGAATGCCATCGAGCCCTGGCCGGTTTGGCTCAGTGGTTAGAGTGTCGGCCTGTGGTCCGGAGAGACCCGGGTTTGGTTCCCACTAAGGGCACGTACCTAGGTTGCAGTTTGTCCCCGGCCCTGGTTGGTCGTGCGGGTGGCAGCCACTCGATGTGTTCCTTTCACGTCGATGTTTCTCTCTCTCTCTGTTCCTCTCTCTCCCTCCCACTCTACCTGAACAAAAAATGGAAAAATGTCCTCGGGTGAGGATAAAAAAATAAAAATAAAAAAAATAGAAGGCCACTGATTTCTTGACATTAATTTTGCATCCTGCTACTTTGCCAAATTTATTTATTAAGTCTAGTAAACTTTTGATGCAGCCTTTGTGTTTTCTATGTATAGTATCATGTCATCTGCAAATAATGACAATTTCACTTCCTCCTTTCCATTTTGGATCCCTTTTATTTTTTTTTCCTGTCTGATTGCTGTGGCTAAGACTTCCAGTACTATGTTAAATAGGAGTGGCAAAAGTGGGCATCCTTGCCTTGTTCCTGTTTTTAAGGGAAATGCTTTTAATTTTTGCCCATTGAGTATGATGATGGCTGTAGGTCTTTCATATATGGCCTTTATTATGTCTAGATATGATCCCTCTATTCCCACACTGCTGAGCGTTTTTATCAGAAATTGGCTATTTTGAATAATGCTGCTATAAATGTGGGTGTACGCATGTCCTTTTTGGTTCTACTTTCAATTCTTGTGGGTGTGTGCTCAGAAGAATTGAAATAAGTACATTTCAAAAATAAGTACCTGTGGGACTGCTACATAACTTGGGAGTTCTGGTTTTAGTTGTTGAGAACCTGCCGCACTGTTTTCCCAGCGGTTGCACCGTTTTATATTCTCACCAGCAGGGCTCAGGGGTTCTCATTTCTCCACAGCCCTGCCAACACTTGTTATTTTCTGCTGTTGTTTTTATATAGTGGCCATCCTAATGAGTGTGAGGTGATATCTCACTGTGGTTTTGACTGATACATGAGGCACCTTTTGTTCATTCTAGAACACACTTGGTCCCTGGCCTCAGCTTATATTGCTCTTCTGATTCCTTAACTCATACCTCTTTTGTAGAGACTCCAACTGCCTCAGCATTTGGTGTTGGTGTTCCAGTCTCTGGTAGGGGGTCAGATTGTACAGGGTGTTGTAGGCTGAGGGAAGGAATTGAGAGTTTCTTCTAAGTCTATATTTAGAAGAATATGTCACAGACTCTGGCCAATCATCCCAGGCTGTACTGAGCAGCGCTGGTGCTAGGGGTAAATGGTGGGGAGTGATCGGTGCTATGTGGCGACACTCAGCCAGGGGACCCAGAGGACTCACTCCTGCCAGCTTGTCTACTGTGTCCTCCTGTAAGGCTCCGAACAGGGAACAATGGCGAAGGACAGCCAAGTGTCATCTGATCATTAATGGGGCTTGTGTAAAACCATAGTGCAGAGCTCTGTGGACAACAGGCTGGAGTGCGTGGGGTTCCTCATTCAACCTGTGCTTTATACATTTGGCTTTCTAAGACCAAAGAAAGCACTTGTAGCCCTCCTTGGTTTGAAGGGAAGATGCTCATTAGCTGTTTACAGCCTGTATGTTCATTGAAATCCCTCCTCAGTTCTCCTAATTCTCCATCCTACATTTGCATGGTATTCTCCACGGTCAGTGTCCCCAGGGTGGTGGTGGTCAGCTGAGCAGAGCAACAGTGGCATTTGCCTTGTACATCTGCAAGCTTCTCAGAGTTGACAAGAGTCTCTTATTTATCTTTGTACCCTACTACTGGCCTAAGGCCAGGCTCAGTAGCTGTTTGACTGAAGATGAGAAAGAAATACTAGTCAAATCTCTGAACCTTCCCCCTGTTCCCTGTAGCCCAGCATCCTCAAGATACAGCCTGGTCCCCCACTTCCAGCTCCGTTGTGAAAGCCTGTCAGCAGACAAGTGTGTATGATCATTGCAGGAGGGGAACTGTGCTCTGGAAATTCATACGCAATGACTGAGTAGAGGCACCGTTCTTTCTCATCTGACTCATAACCACTTAGTAATGCAAATCATTCGGGCATGTGTGTTAACTTCAGTTCAGGGTACCAGGAAACCCTGTACCTCGAGGTAAATGATCATTTCAAGAAATGTCTCCAGTCGTTACCCTAGAAGTAAGTGTGCTTTGAAGACAGTTCCACCGACATCTGTGGTTGCTGAGCTTTGCTGCTCTGGCCCCGGGTCCTTGCCTGGAGTTGGTAGTAGGCACCTGCCCTCCAGCTCCAGAGGGCCTTCTCCTGAATTGCTATTAGCTCAGGGCATGATCCATAACAAGAACACAAAGCACAGGCTGCTGTGAAACATGCTATTTCCAGAGTCTGTGTTTCTAGCCTTGCTGTCTCTTAAATATATAATGGTGTGATCTTTATATTTGTTCACTTAAAATAAATTTTGATTGCCGATAATATTCTCTGTTGGAGATACAGTGGTGAGGAACATCAAAATTCCTTCTTTCGTGCAGCTTACATTTTAGTAGAGAAGAGAATAAGCACTTAAGTCAGCTCAGAGAGTGATCACTGCCATGAAGAAGACAGGAGAATGAGGCAGGGACTGCAGGGGGGAGGGTGGAACCCCGGCTTCAGGTAAGGAAGGGCCTGGTGAGAAGGTGGCCTTTGAGCTAGAACTGAATGATGAGTGGAGATTAAGGTAGAAATCAGTTTCAGCAGAGGAAACAGCAAAGGAAAAGGAAGCCCTGGGGCTGGCAGGAGGTTGGCATGTTCCGGTGGTGGAGAGAAGGCCAGGAGTGTGGATAGAACATCGTGAGTGAGGGGAAGGTGGACAGATGAGGCAAGGACAGAATCAGTGGGTCTCACCCTGACTGCTCATGAGAATTATCTGAAGAACTTTGAAATGTCTCAGTGCCAAGCCCCACCCCCAGACATTGTGATTTAATTGATGTAGGGTGGGGCCTACACACTGGGATTTTATCAAAGCTCTCCAGGGAACTGCATTGTGCACCTTGGGTTGAAAATGTCATCAGTCTGGATTATGCAGAGTCTTACAGACTCTGGTAAGGAGTTTGGACTTGAGGTGAATGACAGTATGAAGCCATTAGATGGTGTGAGCTGGGGCAATAACATGATCTGACTTATGTCTTTAAGAGGCTCACTTTGGGTACAGGTGGCTTAGTTGAGAAATGATGGCGATTTGGACTATGATGGTATCAGTGATGGTACAAAGAGGTCACTTTGGGGATAAGTTTTAGAAGCTGCAGTCTCAAGATGGCTTGGGTTTATGGTGGAAGGCAGAAGGACATCCAGGCTGCCTGAGAGTGGACCTGAGTCAGTTTAGGTGGTGGATGGTTGTGCCATTCCCAGAGATGGGAGAGAAACAGATGTGAGCAGATGGGGAATAACTGGGTATGATGGAGGAGACAGGTAGGCTGTCTTCTCTCTAAACTTAGGTAACTTATACATACAGGCAGCCAAATTAGGTTGGCCAAAATATTTTGATGAATCCTGTTCCTACAGTGCTGAGTTTCTTGAAGTTTTCCAAAGGTAAGCATTGAAAGCAATAAACCAGTTTAGCACATGGAACCTGTGATGAGAAGGGAGGAGTGAAGAAGGGAAGCTGAGGACATGGAGCTTCTCTCATGTAGGAATCAGGCTGGATGTAGGGGAAGAATGCACTTGGAGAGATTGCAAGTAGGTAACACCTGACTTGCTATAAGAATTGAGTGGCATGATGATACATAGAATTCAATGTAACAGGTTAAATTACTTGTATCTGACTTTAAGGGAATTGTTTCCAACAAAATTAACTTCTAAAATGTGTCTAGCTCACATTAAGATTATAATTCTTAATTCGACCCTGGATATCCAGCAAGCAAAAGTAACCCAGATCTTTATGTCAGAATCAAGTTACTAGAATTGCTTGCAAGGCGTTTGCACAGAGAACAGTGTGCAATTCATGGAGCAGCTTGTTTCCCAATGGGAGAAATGGATTAAATTACAACAGCTGAGCAAGCTGATTGGTTACACCAGGAAAACGTCCTAATTATAAGCTCTTTGAGGACAAGGACTGTCTCTTACATAGTTTCCATTTTTTAGAATGCCAAGTGTCTCTGTTAACTCTTTTGTTCATTGAGTAAAACTATGAGATCTTTTTCGCTGACCCTCTTTCTGGAGTCAGTGCTTTTTTGAATGGCTGAGCAGAAAGGTTGACCAGAAGGCCCTACCAGCCTTTTCTGGGACACTTCTAAAGAAATTTAAGTTGTGGCCACCTTCAAGTGGAGGACAAGGGAATTCAGCATGGCATGGCTATGTAGAAAATGACCATGGTCTTAAACCCCTTAGTAAAGGTTTTACTGTGGCCAAGCCTCAGGGGAATTCCAGCAGCCTGAGATTAGGCTTCCTGGGGTTAAACTTTGAGATTTCCAGCTCTGTGGCTGTGGCGTTTCACTGGAATAGGTTTTTCCTGGGTAGTGAAATGAAGAGCTTGCGTCGCCCACTGGCCTGCTTAAACTCATCCTGCCCATGTTCACTCCCAGACAACTGCAGTGACCTGAACTCGGAACTGCAGCGAGTGCTGACCGGGCTGGAGAACGCCGTCTGCTGCAGGAAGAAGAGCAGCTGCAGCCTGTCCGTGGCCGAAGTGGACAGGCACATCGAGCAGCTCACCACGGCCAGCGAGCACTGTGACTTGGCTATTAAGGTAAACCCTCCCCACCCTTGGTGTGGCTGAGATCCTGTAGGGGAAATGATCAAATCCCCCTCTTCTGAAGTGTGGTTTTCTCAAATGCGTGTTAGGAATGAGTGTTTCTAAGAAAGCCATACTTATAGACGGGGCCACCAGATGGAAGGCAGAGCTCTATAAATTTTTGTCGGGCTGACTTACATTGGGAAACGTCATGATGTCGGCAGTCAAGATCACTGACGTTGCAGCAAAAATGACAACTTTCTCAGAAACTCTTAGACGGCTGTTGCTGAACCAAATCATTTTAGTATGGTTCATCCTATAGCCCCAAGATTAACTTAGACATTTCATTAAAGCTTTATGGCCTCTGGATATCATTCAGGAGTTATCAGTTGACAGTGCTAACAAGGTGAGGGGTGTATGCCGAGCACATTGGTGCTGGGTCTCAGCCACGCCGTTCACAGCCATTCATTTACGTCCAAAGGAGGACGCGAAGGGAGGCATTTGCTGCCTCTGTACAAACTCATCATCAACGATGGAAACGTCGAGTTCTTTTGCTGCTGGGCCTCTGGGATCTTTCTGTTACTTCACCATAGCTTAACGACCCAGGCATCGTGGCTGATTCTGAAAAGTCTGGGAGGGGCCTATGGAAGGGAAAAGGTGATGTGTTACTTGAAAAAAAATGTCTTAGGACTCTCAGCCCAAGTTTCCATCAACAGGAGTCCTGGATTGCACAAAAGAGCTATGGTGTCTCAAGGTGAACTGTGACTCATAACACAGCTGGCTTTTCATCTTTATTCATCTCAGTGATTCGTGTATCAGTGATGTGGTTGCGGGAAGCAACCACTGGTGTTTCTTTGTCTGGAGTCTCCCAGGCCCTGTATTTAATGTTAATGTCAACTTGGGTACTCGGCCTGGCCTCAGCTTTGAGAGGGAAGGAGAAGCCAAGGACTTCTGCCAGCCAACAAGGGACAGAGCAGGGCCTCAGATCTGAGAGGGAGGACAAAGCACAACACGGAAATGGCAGCACGATTGGGAAGCCAGTGTGACACCCCCTTTCGTTCTGGTTTTCTTTCCGAGACATGTTTCTCATCACGACTCCTCACTGCCTCCTTCTCCTGCCTAGTAACTCTCCCTCCTCTCTCCGTGTCATTTGGCTGATGCTTCCTTTTCCAAAGGACAAGAAATGTGAATGAACAGTTTCTGAAAGCAAGCAGAATGCATTCTTCCATTTTTTTCCTAATTTTCCACACACTTCCTCTCTATTAATAGTATGTTTAAATGGATTATCTTCAAAACTCTCCAAGTACTATTAAGATTCCACTCCTTTTAGTTCATAGCTGTCTTATCATTAATTAAATCCCTGCTGTCTTGGAAACCTCCACAATAAACTTCCTCTTTTCTGTGTCACTGAGGTTTATTTTCATCTCACACATCTTGGGACGAAGCCTCCTTCACGCCTTCTGAATCCTGATGACACCGAGGCTGGAGACGCTGTGGCCTCTTGTGTCGGAACAGGGGAGGCCTGTCGTTTAGGAAGCTTCAGGTTAGATCGTGTGCGGTTGGCAGTTCCCCACCCGCACTGCCGGGACCCCAACCGGCTTGCTGTCTGCTGGTGTGTACACCAGCTCTGGGACGTGGACGAAGGAAATCAAGAGTGGACAGTTAGTGCCAGGAAGGGACTGTGTTTTTCTCACCCTGGGGACTGCTTGGTAACACAGACTAGGACCCAAGCAAGCAACAGAGTCTGATTTGAAAACAGGGAGAGAATGGTTTGGCGGTGTCGCTGGTCATGATTACGTTTTGCAATAAAGGGACTGTAGAGCCCACTCGTCTGTGGACACTCGCTCCTGTCCAGCCCGTGCGCCCAGCTCACTCACTTGGCTTGTTTTTGCGGCTGTGTTTTTCAGACAGTCGAGGAGATCGAGGGGGTGCTGGGCCGGGATCTGTACCCCAACCTGGCGGAGGAGCGGTCTCGCTGGGAGAAGGAGCTGGCTGGGCTGAGGGAAGAGAACGAGAGCCTGACCGCCATGCTGTGCAGCAAAGAGGAGGAGCTGAACAGGACCAAGGCCACCATGAACGCCATCCGGGAGGAGCGGGACCGGCTCCGCAGGAGGGTAAGCGCAGTCGGCGGCGGGCCTTCCCTGGCGCTGCCCAGAGAAGCTGCACACAGCCACGGGCAGCCCCGGGAATTCTGTGGCATGGGTAGCCCTGGGAATGGCCATCCCTCTCTGGTTGTGGACTAATTTTATTTAAGCCAGTGTGGAAAGGAAAGTAATTTGCAAGTGCTGAGGTATGGAGGAAAGATTTTTTTTAAACAACACGGTTCTCCAGAATCACAAATCTAAGTGGGTGGTAAGATTATATCAGCCCGGTGGTTCTCAGCCCATTCTCCGGGTATACAGGTCTCCCCCCAGCTCAAAGTGTCCTCCTTTTAAGATAAACTAGTAAGATTTTATAATTTGCAAAAATACATAGAATTTTTCCCCTTTGCAGTTTCTTTTATAAAATTCTTTAAATTTATAGCAGCTGTTCTTACTTATCCATAGTGAATCTAATGAGAAATGTTAACTCTTTTTGTTCAGACTTATGAAAGTTAAAATAATCATATATGTGTATCTGTGTCTCTATGGATGTTTTGTATATGTGTGTGTGTGTGTGTATATATATATATATATGTTAAGTGTGTGTGTGTAATTTCTGGGGTCCACCCCAATGTACCCACGGCTCAACGGCCTGAAGCAATCTGCAAATCACTTTGTTTAGGAAATACATCCATTCCTAAAGGAGCTGATGTTTCAGGATAGAAATGTTTGGCAGAATTGTGAAAAGCACTCAGTTTTCCAAAGATGGAGTTTTTTTCTCAGGAACCCACAAATACTCCTTTGTTTGGCTGTGATTTTGATCTGTGTTTGGACTGGGAGTAAAGCAAGGAATTCTTCAATCAGAAACAATTCCCTCTGCATTCATCGAATCACGAGACCTGCGTTAGTCTCTTTCTCAATCTTGGCAATATTAGAAGCTTGCTTTCTAGCTATCCTTCAGCTGGTCATTCCGCACACAGACTAAGTTGAGTTAGAGAGGGAACAAATGCATCTCGTCATTGTTCTCTCAACCCCCTCCCCCCCTTACTTTTAAAGAACACCTTGGAAATGACTTGTTCTTCAAAAAGGTCAGCATGTGTATAACTCATTCTGTTCTTAATCCACATGTAACTTTCCTTAGTTACTGCTTTGTGTGAGGATGGCAGAGAGTACTGTTTTTAACATTATCAGCTCCTTTCCTCATTGTGGCTCATGTTGTCATTAAAGGCCAGCATTCCTCCCTGTCAGACCTGAGCATCGTTGTCTCGGGACTCCTGTGCGTGATAAGCTTGTTTGCAGTGCCCAGCTGTACCGTGCCCTTCTTCATACTTGCATCAGCAAGAGTAAACACCCCAGTCAGCAAAGACTTTATCTGGGCGAGCTGATGACGTTTCCTCCCTGCGGAGGCCCCCACCACCTGTAATTTCCTGGGTTGAACTCCCCAGTCGTCATGGCTAATGCCCTAAGTAGGTGTGCTGGCTCTTGGCATGCGTATTCTGATGGTGCGTGTTTTGCGAAAGAAATGCTGGTCTCAGGTGTAATTGCGTGCTGTGGTTTAGACGACATTCCTCCTCTCACCTGAGTGGCTAAAGCACAAGAGAACCCTGGATGGTGACCAGCAAACGATAAAAAGCCAGGCCCCTTCTTTGAGGAGATTCTCCAACGGTAGGGGTTAGTATTCAGAACGACATAGTTAGGTGTTACTCTGCCCAGGGCTCCCGAGCCTTGACACCTGGGGTCACAGCCTGACCTACCAAGTCACCGTGAGTCTTCGGCACGTTACCTCACTTACCCTGCCATGAAGGGGGAATAATACTAATACCCGATGCAGGGAGATGTGTTAATACCCATAACGCGCTTAGACAACCTTTCTTCTGATCACATCAAGAGGTAGTATAAGTTTTGCGGTTAATATGGTTTTATATTAAATTTATATAATTTATTTATTTAAATTACCTCCAAATAAAAATAGTTGAGGAACTTGTATCTTTTCCTCCACTGGAAATGTCCTCAGGAATTTGTATATTGGATTGGATTTATTTCCCTTTATTTCAAGACAATTGTGAGTCTCATAGAATTTGCTACTTGCCTTTGGATGCCAGTGCACTAGACTTTAAATGCTGGATGACTTCCACCCCCACCACCCATTATACTCATTGCCCCGAGGAGGTAGCTGTTCTTGTGGTCGGCTGTCCTCGGTTTTCTCCTCGTGTGCGGCTCTGTGGAGTGACGGGGCGCACCTTCAGCTCCCTCCGTGTGACACCACACGACACAGGGCCGGGCTGCTTCTGCTGCCGTGGCAGCTCTGACTCCACAGTCCCTCCAAGTGGCCTGAGAAGTCAAGGGAGTCGCACACCTTTTTCACAGCTCACATTTATTGTATAGAATTTGAACTGACCAGATCAATAGGCGTGGTGCTTGCCCCCTGCCTGTAATTAAACAAAGTGCTCTCGGTAGGATTTTCTGAGCCTTGTTCAACGTTTAATTAAATTAGATCTTTAATGTTAGTTAACAGACTGGGCTACTTGGCAGAGCAGACAACAGGCAGACAATTTTTTATTGTTGGCCCCAGCTCATTATTAAATGAGATAATCATTTATCTCTGCATGCTCTATAATATAACCATTCATTTCCTCACACTTAAAGAAATGGACTTAATGCAGGGAAGGTAGAATTAATTACTCTGAAAAGGAAGCACTTTGCTCTTTGTTAATTTGTTTGTTCATTTCATATAGATGATTGGTCGTCTCCTCTGTACCAGGCAGAGGGGTTACAGTGATGAATAGGACACAGCCCCTGGCTTGAGGGCTTTGGGGAGAGACAAGTAAACAGGCCATTGCAGAGGTATATGTCAAGGGGTAGGGAGGGGGAGCACGAAGGGTGCCCTGGTAGTTTATAGGAAGGACACGTGATAGCAGGTCCATCTTCTCCACACTATTTACATTTTTTTCCAAAGGTTGTACACAGGTACTTTTTTTTTTTTATTATTAAATTATTTTTATTAATTTGTTTTTTTTAAATCCAAAATCTTTATGACTACTAGCTTCTCTCCATGTACCAGATGTATATTTCTTTTTTTATTAATTTATTTTTGTTACAGATGTTTCTCCTTTTTTCCCCATTGACGCCCTCCTCCCCATCCCCCATCCCATCCCCAACTTTGTTGTCTATGTCCATTGGTTACGCGTACATACATATAAGTTCTATGGTTTATCTCTTCCCTCTCCCCCTCCCCCTCTTCTGAGGGTTGTCAGTCTGTACCCTACTTCCTCGTCTCTGGGTCTATGCTGTTCCTCAGACTGTTATGTTCATTATATTCCACAAATAAGTGAGATCATGTGATATTTGTTTTTCTCTGCTTGGCTTGTTTCACTTAGGATAATACTCTCCAGGTCCCTCCATGTTGTCTCAAAGGATAAGAGATCTTTTTTTCTTACAGCTGCATAGTATTCCATTGTGTATATGTACCATTGCTTTTTTATCCATTCATCTACTGATGGACACTTGGGCTGTTTTTAGATCTTAGCTATTGTAAATAGTGCTGCTGTGAACATGGGGATACATATATTCTTTCTGATTGGTGTTTCAGGCTTCTTAGAAGTGAATCACTGGGCAAGCAAGAAGAGAGAAATTTCCTCCATACATTGTCACTCTCAGGACCCATCTACTGCTTGAGCTTTTCAAAGTAGCAATCCTGTCATATACTTCTTCAGGCCATTTCTTAAAACTTATGATTATCGTTTAATTACAGCAAAAAGAGACAAATGAGCCCTGGCCGGTTTGACTCAGTGGTTGGAGCATCGGCCTGTGGTCCAGAGATACCCGGGTTCGGTTCCCGCTAGGGGCACGTACCTTGGTTGCAGTTTGTCCCCGGCCCTGGTTGGTTGTGCGGGTGGCAGCCACTCAATGTGTCCCTTTCGTGGCGATGTTTCTTTCTCTCTCTCTCTCTCTCTCTCTCTCTCCCTCTCCCTCTCCCTCTCCCTCTCCCTCTCCCTCTCCCTCTCCCTCTCCCTCTCCCTCTCCCTCCCACCCTATCTGAACAAAAAATGGAAAAAAAACAAAAAAGGTGTCCTCGGGTGAGGATAAAAAAAAGAGAGAGAGAGACAAGTGAGAACCAGCTAAAATAAGAGATGCTTACTAGGAGCCTGGAAAGGGCCCAGATACAAAGCTCCCAGTTGTCTTCTCCTGTGGAGTCCTGGATGGTGTTACCCCTCCTGGCTAGGATGTGTGACCGCACTCAGTATTGCCAACCAGGGAAGTTCATCCAAGCTTCAGTATTGAAAGTTTTTCATGGGTGTTTCATTATGTAGGTGTGATTGATTGAACCATTCCATGTGGTGGAACTCAGTTTCCAGCCCCTTCTCTTTCAGGGAGATCAGGCCAATATCCTTTGGGACACTTTTAAGTCTGTGAGTATGGCAGGCATGATGAAGCTACACTGTGTCTCCCCATAGTCACTGTCATACAGTAGAGATCCCAGAGGTTGTTGGGGTGTGGGGGTTGTCTAGTACTTGTCCCGTGAACTCATGACTGTGGTAATTTACAGAGCATCCTCTTATGTGTCCCCAAGGTCCTTCCCCACAGCCATTAGTTCTGAATCCATTGGTACCAGTTTCTAAACACTGAACTGGATCTAAATACCGAATCAAACCCTCCATCAGTATTTGCCCATGTTATCTCCAAGGGCACCTGCCGGTCAATGGTCATGCTTAAAGGAATTGTGAAAAGGAATCCAAATTAAACCAAAAGGCCTGTTTAGAAAGAATAATTACCGTAAATGTTGATCATGTATTTTATTGTGTACTTCTTTCTACTAACTAGTTCATTTGTAACATATTTACTATTAGGCTGCCCAACCCTACTGGGAAATAAGATTTAGGATGTTATACTGACGTGTCCAGAGCACGGTCTGTCTCTGAAGTCACCCTCACTTTGTCTGAATTGTCTGCTTCCGTTATAGTTAGTTACAGTTATAGGCTAAGTACGTGCTCTTTGATGTTTTTAACTAAAAAATGAAAACAGTGGAGAGATTT